GAAGGTTCATCTAGCTGATGATGAAACCTTGAAGATCGTCGGAAAAGGAGACATTCGACTAAAGCTGCCAAACCAGACCACCTGGAAGCTGACAGGAGTGAGACATATTCCTGGCCTCAAAAGAAATCTGATTTTTATTGGACAACTTGATGGAGAAGGATATTGTACAACCTTTTCAGGCTGTGAATGGAAGATTACCAAAGGAGCACTCGTCATTGCTCATGGTAAGAAGACTGGTACTCTCTATGTAACCTCAAATTTAGAGAATATCATTGCAGTAACAGATGCTGATGGAAAATCAAACATATGACAACAAAGGCTTGGTCATATGAGCGAGAAATGGATGAAGACACTTTTATCAAAAAGGAAGCTGCAGGATCTAAAGAATGTAGATGTCGGACTATACGAGGATTGCATCTTTGGCAAACAAAAGAAAGTCAGTTTTGCAAAGACTGGCAAGACACCCAAGGCAGAAAAGTTAGAGTTGGTTCATACTGATGTATGGGGACCATCTCCAGTTCTATCTTTTGTAGGCTAACTATATTATGTCACATTCATCGATGATTCTACAAGGAAGGTGTGAGTTTATTTTCTGAAGAAGAAATCAGAAGTCTTTGATACCTTCAGAAAATGGAAGGCCATGGTGAAAAATGAGACTGGTTTGAAAGTCAAGCGGCTGAGGTCTGACAATGGAGGAGAGTACAAAAATAGCAGATTCAGAGAATTTTACTCAAGCAATGAGATCAAGATGGAGACAACAGTTCTCATGACACCACAACAAAATGGCGTAGCAGAGCGCATGAACAGAACTCTGAATGAACGTGCCAGTAGCATGAGGATACATGCCGGATTGCCCAAATTTATATGGGATGAAGCTATCAACTCTGCAGCTTACCTGATCAACCGTGGGCCTTCAGTTCCTTTGGATGGCAGAATACCAGAGGAAGTTTGGAGCAAGAAATAAATAAACCTTTCACACTTAAGAGTGTTTGGTTGTATTTCTTATGTACACATAGATTCTGCTGAAAGAAGTAAACTTGATGCCAAGTCCAACAAATGTGCATTTGTTGGTTATGGCGGTGATGAGTTCGGTTACCGGTTTTGGGACTATGAAAATCGGGTGATCATTAGAAGCAGAGATGTCATTTTCAATGAGAATGTGATTTACAAAGACAGGTCAACCATAGAATCAAGTAGCTCCAATACCGAAGCTGAAACAAAGGAATTTGCTGAGTTCGAGGAGATTTCTGGAAATGATGTTCAGATCAATCCTGAAGCAGTTCAAGAAGAACCACGTACACCAAAACTGAGACGCTCCTCCAGAATTCCTAAACCAACCCAACAATATTCGTCTTCTTTGCACTACTTGTTGCTGACTGACAATGGTGAACCAGAGTGCTATGATGAAGCAATACAGGTGGAGGATTCAGTCAAGTGAGAGTCTTCAATGAAAGATGAGATGGACTCGCTTATGTCAAATCATACGTGGGAATTAGCTGAATTACCACCATGCAAGAGAGCGCTCCATAACAAGTGGATTTACAGGATCAAAGAAGAGCACGATGGGAGCAAACGCTATAAAGCAAGATTGGTTGTCAAAGGTTTTCAACAAAAAAAAAGTATTGACTACAATGAAATTTTCTCTCCAGTCGTGAAGTTGTCTACAATCAGACTGGTATTGAAAATTGTAGCTGTAGAGAATTTACATCTTGAGCAGTTAGATGTAAAGACAGCTTTCCTTCATGATGATTTGGAGGAAGAAATCTATATGAGGCAGCCAGAAGGCTTCATAAAGCCAGGCAAGAAAAACCTGGTATACAGGTTGAAGAAGAGCTTGTATGGTTTAAAACAAGCTCCTAGATAATGGTACAAGAAGTTTGATAGCTTCATGGGTAGCAGTGGTTTTACCAGATGCCAAGCAGATCATTGTTGCTACATAAAGAGGTTCGACAATAGCTTTATTATTTTATTGTTGTACGTTGATGACATGCTCGTTGCAGGCTCAAACATGCAAGAGATTATACACTTGAAGCAAAAATTGTCGAAGCAGTTTGCTATGAAGGATTTGGGCGCTGCAAAGCAGATTCTTGTGATTAGGATCAAGAGAGACACAAAGTCGGGGACTTTGATGTTATCACAGGCTGAGTACATCAACAAAGTACTCTCCAGGTTCAACATGCAAGATGCTAAACCAGTAAGTACACCTTTAGGTGTTTATTTTAGACTCTCCAAAGAACAGTCACCAAAGACGGAAGAAGAACGTGCACACATGGTGAAGGTGTCGTATGCCTCAACAATTGGAAGTCTAATGTATGCCATGGTTTGTACCATACCAGATATTGCTCAAGCAGTGGGAGCTGTTAGCAGGTACATGAATAATTCGAGCAAGGTACACTGGGAAACAGTCAAATGGATCCTCATATATCTGTGGGGTACTACAAACAAAGCACTTTGTTTCAAAGGTGGAGATACGATACTGACATGCTATGTAGATGCTGACTTAGCCGAAAATGTTGACATCAGAATGAGCACTACAGGGTATGTCTATACTCTAGGAGGTACTAAAGTGAGTTGGGTTTCTCAACTACAGAAGATAGTTGCTCTCTCCACAACTGAATCAGAATATGTCGTTGTTACGGAAGCCAGCAAGGAGATGGTTTGGCTCCAAAGTTTCTTGGAAGAGTTAGGCAAGAAACAATAAAACAATGTCTTGTATTACGACAGTCAAAGTGCTATCCATCTAGCAAAAAATCCATCTTTTCATTCCAGGACGAAGCACATACAATTGCAATATCATTTTATCATGTCTCTTCTGGAAGATGGGATTTTGAAAGTTGAAAAGATTAGTGGAGCTCAAAATCCGACAGACATGTTAACAAAGACGGTGATTACGGACAAACTGAAGTTGTGTTCAGCTTCAGTTGGCATGCTAGAGTAACAAGACCAGAAATACTGCTGCATTGATCAAGGTGTGAAGACAGATTAAAATCAGTCTTCAAGTGGGAGATTGTTGAAATTCTAGAAGGTCGGTTGATTTTCAAACTAAGGAGCTGGTTGATTTTCAAATTAAGGGGCTGCTTTGAATTCAAAATAAGGTGGTTGTTTTAGTTGAAATTACCAAGGGATAATTACAAAATTCAACCATTGTATTTTAGGGTAATTATAGAATTAGTCCCTAAGCTTCAACTATAAATACCCTACCTCATTTAACTTCAAAATCATCCCAAAAATCATTTCTTTCTCCCAATACTAGAGAGCTTTCTTGTGAGTAGTGAGTGTTTTGTAAACACCTGTAAATTTTCTCTCTTAGTAAAAGATCTGCAGTAGTCTGGAGATGTAAGCAAATTGGCTGAACTCCGTTATCAATTTCAGGTATTATTTTTCCGCTTTTATTTCGCATTCTCACTAATCTGGTTATAGGGAAATTACTCGTTACTCGTTTTATTTCCCAACAAGACCATGGACCTTGAAGAAGTTCTAACCCCCGAAGCACCAACTTCACCGTTGGTTTTTCCTTAGCTTGTCGTGGCCTTTGTTTACGATTTATAGCCACTATCCAAGGGCCATAAAGGTCATGACTTCGTTCTATTGTCTCATGATGATGTATCGTTGCTTCATTAATCATTTCTGCAGAGTTAGAAACACCCTCGTCTCTTATCACACTCCACCTTTGAGTGCCCACACATCCTACAGTGAAAACAAATTTGCGGTAGACCCTCATATTCCAAACGTTGAACGAACCCATCAATTTCGAAGCACGGAAGCAATGGTTTGTTAAGATCTACCACCACAACCAATCTCGCAAACTTGCCCCTCTCCCCAATGTTCGAGTTATAGTCGATTTTGATAACCCTCTCAATTTTCGAGGCGATCATACGAAATAACAATTTAGAATAATAACGATATGGGAAGCCAAGAAGGCAAACCCATGCAATAACCTGCGATGGATACTTATCAGAAGTATTGAAATTTCGACTCCATGGTTGCACGATCAAGAAGCTCCCAAAAATCACCCACGACCCTTCCATCAAAGCTTTCGTGTAATAGTATTCCTTTTTGAAACGGACAATATAATACTCGTTCTCAAGGTCCACCAATTGAAACTTCCCCTGCAATTACCAGAGCGACATGATCTTATTCCAGAAGACTCTATAGTCGATCCTCCTCCCCAAAAGTCGAACTATTATTGTTTTCTTCATATTCGAGTCAATAGCATCATGCACGCGATCAGAAAAGTGAACCATGGGGTAAGGTCCTTTTCTATCAACAATGACATCATCGTCCTGTAGTATCACTTCGCAGCCCAGGAAATCCGCGTCCGCCGACTGTCTATCAGAAGAGGCTCCCTTAAGCATTGCTGCATACGACTTTAGGCTACCCCCGTTAGGAACGCTTATGTTGTTTTGTCCCTTGTTATCCACTCTAGAGTCAGTACCTCCTACATCCACCATCGTCACTTCCTTCACAACCACCTGATTCTCCTCACACCCAAACGTGAAGTCTCAACCGAGTCATCCCCAACAGATTTTACGTCCACTTCATTTATGAACTTCTTTTTTAGCCTTAGACTCTCCGCTGGAATCGGGGATCCCGTCCTTTCAAGACCACCGGAGCAAACCCCAGCAATTCATGCTCTGACGACACATCGAATTTCATACAAAAACCTTAGAAAAATATGAAACCCTGGCTCCTGAAAATTTGGAGCGGCTAATAATATATCCTTTTTAGATTATTTATGTATTTAATTTCACTAAAATTTCATTCAAACAATGTCGATTAATCATAATAAATAAATGACTTAATAAAAAAAATAAGTGTTTAAATTATATACTTTTTCTATTTTAATGCTTAAACAATTGAATTATTTTTCGAACTATCCAAGTTTCAAACTGAACCATTATCGTCATTAAATTATGCTATTAAATGACACATGTCGTCTTTATAAAATTTTAAAAATCTATAAAACAATATAATCTGGGCAAAGTATACACTAATGGTCCCTCGGCATTAGTTGTTTTAGAAACAAACGTGAAATGTTAAAATAATTTCACGTGTACAACACCCTACACGTTATATAATATAATATGTAAAATATATAATACTTTCAAATTTTCCTATGTTATTTAAAAAAAAATCCTATGTTGATCTCCCTCATCCCTCGTCATTCCCCTCGTCCATCACCACTGTTGCTGCATGTATAGTCAAAATGTAATTTTAAACTTCAAGGCCTTTTCTACATCACTTCTGTTGTTTTTCGGCAGCCTGATCATAAACCGAATCAAAAGTCAGATAGTGCAAATTTAACAATAAATTTAATGAGAAAACAATAGTTTAATGAACATCTCTAATTACCAAACTTAATATTATTAATATACTGCAGCAAGGTCATACCTTTTTCAGTTTGGATAAAACAGAATCTTCAAAAGCTTGGAAACCAGCCCCAACCAGATTACTGAAACGATCAGGTTCCTCGGCCTTCCGGGGAGCTAAAAAATCTGCAACAATTGCCGGTTTAAGAGGCACGACCAGCAATGGATTGTGCAGATCCCCAATAACGCTTCCCGTAGCAGCAACCTGAAAAGAAATAAAATAGTTGAATAAAATAAAACAACAGAACTAAAATAAGATGACACGAAAGAAATCTCACTTACAGCTGCTTCTTTAGTAGCCATGACTACTAGAGCAGACCCTTTTTTCTTTGAGCTTTTGATTACAATATCCTCCACTTCCCCGAACCCGGAAAACAATTGCCTTAGCTTCTCTGCTGTATAACCCTCCCCAATTCTTTCCCAAGAAACCTTTAAAACCTTCTCTTTATCCAACTCCCCACTAGCCCCACCCTCATTATTCCCTTCTCTCCCAACCTTGTCTTGATTAAAGCCTGAACCTGAGCCCCTACCCATACCAGCACCCTTACTAGCAGCGTGCATTGCACGGATCCTTGCAATTTCCTCTTTTAATTTCCTAGCAATCCTCTCTTCTTCCTCTTTAGCAGTTACAGCAGGATCCGGAGCAAAAGAAGCACGTTCTCGATCTTCCAAATCTGACATCATTTTCCTTCGCTTTGTATCTTGCTGTGCAAAACGACGCTGCTGTTCACGTTTCACCCGGAGAAGATCATCGAAGAGCTTACGAGCTTTGTCGTCAACAAGAATTTCATACGAGGATTTGAGCTTTATAAAGTTTTCATGGGCATTCGGATCATCTTTTCGCTTATCAGGATGAAGATCACGGGCTTTTTCTCTATAAGCCTTGGTAATTTCTTTTTTGGTCAAATTGGCTCCTTCCTCGCCCGAAGGTAAACCCAAGATGCTGTAATGGTCAACCTCCATAGCTGAATCCAATTCAAAGGAAATACAAATCAGTAAACTGTTTCAAAGATGAATCTAGTGTCAAACGAAATACAAATCAGTAACAATGCTTCAATTGAGGTGGTCTTGCCCTCTATTTCACAGTTGCAGTGCTGTCAGCTACCACTAAAGAACAATGTAGCTGTGTGACAAATTTGACATCAATTGCAGCAGGTTGCTGCCGCAAATTGCAGTGTAACAGAAAATAGAGGCAATAAAGGTCCATTATTTCCAGTAAACCAATAGCTTCATGAAAAGATCTTCTCAACAATGTAAACAGAGAAGGAGTAAAAATCAGTAGGATTGATAACAGAAGAAAATAAATAGTACACTTATGCAGAGACTAGATAACTACAAATCCGACTCAAGTAGAATAATCTTCCAACTTAGGTTTTGGGTTCCAAAAATTACCTTACTTGATTCCCTGGTCAATCGGAAACTAGAAAGCAAGAGGCGGCTTCCGTCAGGCACTGGAGGAGTAGGAGAGGGGTAAGCATCAGGGTCGAAAACATAAAAACAAATATAGCAGAGTGGCGATGATGCAGATACCAAATAAATCCTAATTCCGTGACTTGAGTAGAAAGATATATTCAAATTAGGTTTAGGGTTTCAAAAATTACCTGATTATATTCCCTGGTCTGTCGGAAGCTTGAAGGCAATAGAGGGCTTGCGTTGGGCACCGGACAAGAAGACGAGGGATGAGCGGTAGGATCGAAAACAGAGAACACAACACTAGCAAATATCAGATAATCCAAAGCAAACGTTACTCAAAATTTCATGATTAAAGTATAAATCTTCAATTTAAGTTTAGGGTTTCAAAAATACCTTATTTAACTCCCCGGGCCGTCGGGAACTAAAGGAAAAAGAGGGTTTGGATCAGGGACGGGGGAGGAAACGGAGGAATGAGAAAGGGATAAAATTAGAGGAAGAGAAAGACGACGCTTTGGACAGAGCAGCGGTTGCTCGGCGTAGATGAGAGCGGGTCGGCAACTTTTAAAAGGGAAAATTATACGGTGTTTTAAATCTAAATACGCCGTAATTTTAAGATTAAATTAAACTACACCATTAATGATTAAACTTAGGGTAAACTACTTATTTAGCCAGCCATTTATTACTTTGTTTCTATTTTACTCACTTAACTATTTCTTTTTAAATTATGTCCAACGAAACGTTTTGTTTCTATTTTGATCATCTATCGCTATATTAGAAAAAAAAACAAAATATAGTGTAATAAGTTAAAATTAAGGGTAAATTATACCATTGAACATTAAACTATTTAGCCCTTTGATTTTTGCTACCGATCTTTCAATTTTGTCAATCAGACCATCAAACTATTTAAATTATTGCCGTTAATTTTTAATAGAAGGATGATATGGCAATTAACACATTTGGTCCTCAATATTTATAAATTCAGTCAATTTGGGCCTAAATACAATTTAATTCACCAATTAAATGGTTACACATGTCACCATTAGATAAATTTGTTTTTACTATAATTTAAATTTATTTAACTTAATTATTTATCTACCAACGAACCAGATGGTGAAAAATAAGTAGAAAAGGGGCAAGGGGGAGATTCAAACCTGGGACAAATGGAGCAGAAAGAAGGCCTAACCACTGAGCCAAACCCCACGTTCGAGATAGAATTTACACAAAAATTTATATATTTTATAACATAGTTAATGCTAAAAGAAATGAAAAATGCCTTTAGAGAGTTTTGAACCTAAGCTAGGTGAAGAACTTTAAATCACCAAACCACTAGAACAAACCTTATATTTAAACTATAGCTGGATATATATTTTAAGACTAATTTATACAATATTAAAAAATGTTAAATTTAAAATTTATATATTTTAAAATAAAATTAATATTTTTTTCCTTTTTACAATTTAAATATTATATATAATCTGATATTTTTGATTTAATTAATAATTTAATTTTTATTTTAAAAATGATAAATCATTTATATTTTAGTTAACTTTTTATTATATATAAAATGTATAATTTAAAACTACACGAGCTAATAAAAAGTTAACTAAAATATAAATGATTTATTTTAAATTATAAATCTTAAATTTATTTTTTTAATATTGTATAAATTAGTCTTAATATATATAATATATATATCCAGCTATAGTTCAAATATAAGGTTTATTCTAGTGGTTTGGTGATTTAAAGTGTTTAACTACGTTATAAAATATATAACGTGTTGTATAAATTCTATCCCAAACGTTGGGTTTGGCTCAAGTGTTAGGCCTCTCTATTCTGCTCCATTTGTCCTAGGTTCGAATTTATTCAATCAGATGGTGGCACGTGTTTCCATCGGTTGGTAGATAAACAACTAAATAAATTTAAATTATAGTAAAAACAAGTTAATCTAATGATGACATATGTCACCAATAACTGGTGAATTAATTTTTTTGAAATAAATTATATTTAGAACAAAATGATTGAATGTATAAATATTGAGGACTAAATATAGAATTATATCAATTGTGTTAATTGCCACATCATCATTTTTGTTGAAAATTAATAACAAGTGACTTGATTAATATCATTTAAATAATTTGATGGTCTGATTGTTCAAATTAAAAGATCGGTGACAAAAATAAAAGACTAAATAATTTAATGGTCAATGATATAGTTTACCCAAATTAATAGCAACTCAATGACAACAAAAACTTCATTCACGATGTAGTAGTTCTTCAACGATCACCATAACAAATGATCAGGGGCTTATCTAGGCCTAGGCCTACCTAGGCCATGCCCCACACGCCCAAAAAAAGGGTAAAATACTTATTCAGTCACTGATTTATTATTTAGTTTCTGTTTTGGCCACTCAATTATTATTTATTTTAAATGATACTTAATGTTACATTTTGGTTCTATTTTGGTCACTCATCTTTAAAAGATCAACGGTAATGTTGACGTATCATCATAAAATAATATAATGTCATAATTGAAAAGTAATTAAAAAATGTCATACTAACAACATTCTTAATTTTTTAAACTGTAGGTGATCAAAATAGAACCAAATCGTAAGGTTGACTATTATTTTGACAAAAATAATAATTAAGTGACCAAAATATAAATTAAGTAATATGTGGGGTGTACGAATTATGTTAAAAAGTTATATTAGTCCAATTAATATACTTTTTTCTAGATTTAATCCATATATATATATATATAATAATTTTTAAATTAAAAATATATGAGGATTATTTAGATAAATTTTTTATTATATTTATATTGGTCCGATTTACAATTTTTTTTGAATTCGCCATACAACTACCACCGTAACTTGTCAAGAGGACATTTAACTTGGTAAAAACCTTATGCTAAAAAAAATATTTCATGTTCTAAATCTCTCTCAACCTCATTTCTATTCACAAATTAACCACCAACTTAAAGTGTAATGTAATCAATAAGACATTTTTCATATTCTAAAACATTAAAATGTTTATAGTCAATCTATGTATAACACTCGTAAAAAAAAAATTAATAGAGACATTAGGCAATGAGAGGAGGGAAGACATGACAACCATTGCGAAGAACAAAACACGAAAAATAATTGAACCATCAAGTGGGAAGCAATGGGTTTTATCTGTAAAATATAAAGTGGATGACACAATTGAAAAGTACAAAGAAAGATAAGTGAACATAATAATAAGTATCTTGTCTTTGGCAGCTAATTTTAGATGGGATCTACAACAGTTGCATCTTAGGAATGCATCTCTCCATGGTAATCTTGAATATAAAATTTAGAGTAAATTATATTAGAGACCATCCAACTATAGTCTCTTTTCATTTCGACCACTATTTTCTAATTCTTGTCAATCAAGCCACTAGCCGTTAACATTTAACGGAAGTGATGACGTGTCAGTTAATAAAAACTGATATAATTACACATTTGGTCCTCAATATTTATATATTCTTTCAGTTGGTCATAATTTAATTCAATTTGATAAATTTAACCTTCAATTAGGTGTTGACATGTGTCATTACTAGATTGGAGGATATTTTATTAATTTTAATTATTTTATTTTGTATCCAATTGGATACAAAATGTTAAAATCTTCAACTTACTTTTGGAGGGATTAAACCAACAACCCACAATCCCTTTTGAGGCATGCCAAAATCGCTGGGCTAAGTCCATCAATTAGTATTGTATTCCAACATTTTATATATAATATGTTCTAACTAATGGTACAGAAAAATAAGAAACTATATTATATATATATATATATATAATTATTAAATAAAACTAAAATTATTAACTATATTAAAAATTAATTTGATGCTTATATAAAAATTGTATAAAAGTTAAAGATAATTTAAAAATATAAAAATATAAAAATTTAAATTTTACTTTTTCTTTTAAATATATGTTAGTTTTCTATTTTTCTCTATCATTGGTTAGAGCATATTAAATATAAAATGTTGGAATACAATACCAATTGAGGGACTCAACCCATAGGTTTTGGCATGCTCATAAAGGGGTCGTGGGGTGTTGGTTTGATACCCTCAAGAGCAAGTTGAAAATTTTACACATTTTTATCCAATAATGTGGTGACACATGTCACCACCTGATTGGATACAAAATAAAATAAATTTAATAATTAAAATTAATAAAATATTATTCAATCTAATAGTGACACATGCCAACACCTAATTTGAGGTTAAATTTAGCAAATTGAATTAAAATTATGACCAAACTAAAAAAATGTATCAATATCGAGGACCAAATGTGTAATTATACCAGTTTTATTAACTAAAACGTCATCACTTCCGTTGTTAACGACTAGTGGTATGATTGAATGCATTTAAATAGTTGGGTGGTCTGATTGACAATAATTCAAAATTTTGGTCGAAATAAAAAGGAGTTATAGTTGGGTGATCTCTGTTATAGTTTACCCTAAAATCTATATGGAAGTTTCTTCTAGTTTTAAATTTAAGAAGGTAATGACTTGTAGATTAAAGAAAACTCTTCACGGGCTCAAACAGTTTCCACAAGTATTGTTTGAAAGGTTTGTCGAGTCGATGATCTTACTGGATATAAGTGAAGTCGAGGTGATTATATCTTGTTCATAAAATACTTGGAACTCTTAAAGAAGTTAATCATTTTTGGTGTATGTGGATGACACGATAATTACAGGCAATGACATTGAAGTAATGAACTTGAAATAATGTCTTTTTGAAGGAATTTGACACCAAATTGTTGGGAAATTGAAAGATTTTGGTGTATTGTAAGTAGTTGTTAGCATGAGCTAATGCTTATTAAAATGCAGCACTTGCAGAGGTCTCAAACCCTAAAAGGAAAATGAAACTGATAACCTTGAAGTTCTTGCAGAGATCTTTCATCAACGGCCATTAGAAAAGTAATGATGATGATAATCAGCTATGTCATCAGAACTGAAACATCATGGAAACATAACTAAATTTGCCCAAGCGTGCTGCTTAGACATGATATTCAGTAATATACAAGTAGAAACAACACCAAACTCATCAAACCAAGATTCTCAGAAACCTCTTTAGCATTGTTATGTCATCTGCTACCATTTTCCTCAGCCTTGGAGCCCTCGATGTAGATTTTCATAGAAGCCTTGGAGAATTCGATTAAGGACTCAAAAACAGTTGAAAACCCAGTCTGAAATCCATTCGATGTGATTCTCTGTGTTTCTTGCGTGTAACTGTGGTGTTTCTCCCTTTCTACATCCAACCTCTTCCTCATCATATCCAACTGGTATTTCTTCTCCATTAGATATTCATTCCGCTGTTCTGTCTCGTGCTCGGATTTAAATTCCGTAAGCAACTTGGATTCCAAGAACCTGGTTTCTGCCTTCTGGAATGCCATAGCCCTTCTATCAAGTTCTTTTGCCATACCATCAACTTTCCTATTCTGTTGCTGTTCCTCCCCTTACTGAGCCCACAATGCCTTAACACCCTTGAAAAAGCTTTTCAATGAAAAGGTGACAGCCTTATCTTGTAAC